CGTAATTTCGCTTATAATGGACAAATAATTTGGTCCCCAGGGCCGCTTTTAGCTGTAGTTCTGTTCGGCTGTAACGGACAAGCAGTTCCGCCTACAAGGCGCGTGGCGTGCTGGTGATATCCAGCGCAGATATGTAGTCGGGATTATTAATAGTCACGCATCTGGTCAGGTAAAGTTGGATTACTACATGTACAATATAACAATCTATACCACAAGTGTGTCTGCTGAGGTGTGGCATGAGTAAATGGTATCCTGTAGTTGTGTTCAGGGCATACAGCAACTCTGGATGTAACGGACTGTTTTGCCAGGTCCCTTGAAGTCCGTTATAACGGTATTTTACTGTAAAATAAAAGCGTACACATATTACAAAGGTGAAACATGAAAAGCAATTACTGTAATTGTAAAAAAAATCCGTTAAAATAATATGAACAGGAAGATATATTTATATTTTAGTCACTGTCTACTTTGAAAGTTTACTACTAAAATAGCAAAGACATACAGTTATTTGTGCAGAACATTTCACACGGATGTGATTTAAAGTATTTTACGGAGATCAAATAATATTATACAGTAATAATGACAGGTGAGAAATCAACCCAGGTTCCTGTTGGCTATGGGGATCGAACCAGGGACTTTCGCATTATAAGGCGACAGCATAAACTACTGTGCCACCATGATACTCTACCAAGCACTTGTAACATTTACGTAACTTATGCATTTATTCTGTCTGCAGTTCATTACCAAACCAGCTCCCTGTTTGTGTTTATGGCCACAGTATTAGCTTTTTTAAACTATTACATCATTGTATTTTTCATACAGCTCCATCAGCAGCGTTCATTCTGCGGTGGAAAGAAACACCGCTCTCGTTTCACAGGCTTTCCGACTCATTTGGTCGATCTATCGTTCATCCATTTATTTGGGTTTCTTAAATATCGCGGGTGTGCGCACTAAGTGAGACTATGCAAGTCTGTCTTGAATGAACCTTGATTAAAACTGAACTGCATTCGTGGAACGACGTGAGGCTATGTTTAGAGATGGAGGTAGGTTGAGTCTGACTTTATTGGGAAAGTCTGCCTTTTTTTAGCTACTTTCATGGAATACCCCCCTGAACAAGAAAGATATCAAACATATTGTCCATATGTATATAAACAATATCGGGTGGAGCAGTTCTATAGCTTGGGATGGCACAACATAATTTTTTTCTGGTCTGGTCTGATCTCGATACCAATATCACAGTTGTGAGTATCTGCTGATACGAATCTCATACCTGTGTTCATGGCTCAGGGGGTTAGGCCTGTGTACCTGTAATCACAAGTGCACCTGGTCAAACCCAGCCTGTTTACAATGTGAATAGTGATCTTCAGCTGAGAGCAGTACTATACGCTCCTGATGCAGGTAAAACAAAGAAAGGTGAGATGGTTTACTTCTTTGCCTAATTAACCTAATTCTAAAAACTTTAATACTTCCGACAATGGAAGTTTTGAAAAGAAGACAGATTAGGGATTTAGTCAGTGTTTTTTTCATGATTCTACATAATGATTTCAGCAAGATATAAACTGAAATACATGAGAAAGATGTCACGATCGTCGGGGAGGCGAGAAGGGAAGCAGGCGAGAGCAGCCAGGTCGTCAGGGAAACGGGGTT